TACTGAAAAAAGTGTCAAAAAATGGTAACCAAATCATATAACTGGCTGTATATTGACCAAACAAAGGCTTAATTAAAAAAAATGGCTCCAGCATGCCCTGCGCCTTGAGACGGTCTTTTAAACAAACAAAAAATATTAATGCATTGAACGAACCAGGAACGAGAAATTTGGGATGCGCTTTTGAGAAAGCGGAAACTGAGAAAAAACGAAAAACATTTTTTGATTTTTCAAAAAACAGCTGGTTTTTCGAATAGGGATTGACGGAAATCTTTAAAATTTTTTGGGAAAAATGAAGTAACGAGAAAAACAAATTATCGTTTATGACAGAACAGATGACGGACTATCTTCCCATGTATTTATCTCAGCTTTGACCATTCCAACGAAAACTGACATTTTATGGGGGGGCTTAAGGGTGTAAGAGAGAACACGTCGAAAAATTTCAGCTTAAAACTTACATTCATTATGGATTTCAATAATAAATGTGATTTCCACAACAGAATATACTAAGTTTTATCGGAATACGATAATATTAATATTAATTAGAGAATAATAGTAAATAGACAATAATTTATATAAGATGATTATAATTTTTCTATAAAACGAATACCAATGATGAATTTGCTCTATGCCATTCGTCAATGCTGAGGTAATTTGGATAAGGAATACCGTATCAATTTTCTTGCTTTCTATGAAAAACAGACTGGTAAAATGAGATTGATCATACCTAAATGATTATTCTAAACCTAATTCTATACGAAAAAAAAATCATGAATTTTTTTTGTTCAAACTTAATTTTAGCGTCTGTATTAACTTCTACTCATAATTCCTAAGTCAGAAGTTCTGCTGAATTTTCGAATCTATTTTTCAAAACACTAAAACAAAACTCCTGTTTAAATGAATAAAGCGACTACTAATGCCATCTACTAATGAAACTATTCTTTTCAAAACTTTTACTTTTTATATTTCTATTCTTAAATATTGTGTTAATAAGAGAATGAATTTTTCTTAGTTATTTTTTCTTTCTATCATTATTTCCTATAAGTTCATGACTCTCTCTGTAATTGGCACTGAGTTCAGCAACATTAAGCAAATCATAGATTTGTTAGGACCGTTGCGGAGGCCACATCGGCCGCGTATTTGCATCGTTAAAAATAAATTAAAGGAAGACATTTTTTCTAAATTTAATTACAATTCTAAGTTATATATGATGGTCAAAACAAAATTAAATATGTCTCTTTTTTCAACACTTGTTCAACAAATTAATAACAAATCATCATCAGCTGAATATAATCTTATTGATAATGAATATTATACTGCATTTAATACACTTGATGATATTCAACGATTTCATAATAAATTAATTGAAAAACAAACGAATAATAATAATAATAATAATAATATTGAAAAAGATAATGATCTACAATCTGAACAAGATGATAATGAAATGGATATGAAAACATTTGCTCAACAATTTCTTATTGATTTACCTGAAACAATAATAAATCAAAATAAAAATCTATCAGAAATTAATACAAACCAATCGAACAATTCTAATTGTGAACTAAATACAAAAAGACAACGACGTAATATTAAAGATTTACCACAATCAAGTAATTTTTTATTTATGTCTGATGATGATAATGGTAATATATTCGATAGTTTAACAGAAAAAAAATCTTCATCACGTACAAATCGTATTGCATATGAAGATATGAGTTCAATACTTCTTACATTAGATGTTAAAACACCAAAGAAAAAAAAATCTTTATCAAAAACTAAAAGTCAAGAACCAATAATAGCTATAGAATTAGCTGAACCATCAATAATTAAAAATGAACCAATAGAACAAGAACAAGTTTGTTGATTAAATATTTTTTTTTTTTCTATAAAAGAAGAAAACATTTTTTTTTTCTTTGTTTTTCAATTAACTATTTTAGCTTGTTATTACTCATGTTAGTGAAACAAAAGAAGAACCTATACAAATAAATGTAAATATAAATATTCTGATTATTTTCCAATGATGTATTTTTTTTGTTTCTTTTTTCATAGGTCATTCCAACTGGTCCAATGAGTTTTGGAACATCGGAATAGTTAGTAATGATTCGAAAAAGAAAATTTAAAAATTATATTTTGTTGTTTTTTTTTTTTTTTATTCTTTCACCTAGTTCTCATGATTTGGATAATTATGTACAAAATATCCATCGATCATGTGCAACAAATGTACCAATATCAAATTCATTAACATCATCATCATCGTCACCGTTACGTCCACAACGAATACGTAAACGAAAAAAACTCTATATTGAAGAAAGTGAATCAAGTACTAAACCAAAACGAATACGAAAAAAACGTTCACAAACAAATTTGAATCCAACAATATTAACTGATGCAGAAATTGAACAACAATTTGGTGAACGTTTATCACCAACTATTAAATTAGAACATCATGATGAAATACAACATAATGTTAATAATCATATTATTATCGAAACTCAATCGATACCTGAAACGCCTATTGAAAAAGCAAGAGCAAAATTAATGAATGCTTTAGGACGTAAGATTACATTATTATATCATCAGATTATGACAAGAAAGGGAAGCTTATACAAGAGAAAAAAAATGATTGTGCAATGTTTGAAAATATATATAATTTTTGATTGCGTTTTTTTCTATAATGTGAGCATTACATGCTCGATACTGTCTTTTCAAAGTACCATTTTCTGGAAGTATATTCAAATGTTGGACGCCATTCAACTTGATATTGCGAATTTGATTAAAACTTAATGAAACTAAAAATGCTCTAAAAAATTTCGAATTCATGTGTTAAATAGCCATAGTTTTACTGAGTTTCGGCTTCTGGATTAGCTATTTATGGAAACGTCAATGATGAAGTTTTCACCTGAAATTTTTTGCTTAATTCAAGGAACTCATGTTTATATCACAAAAAAAAAATACATTCGTTTGAGCTGAAATTTCTAGAAGATTCTAGTGACTGTAAGACTTGTCTGTGGATAAAGCTTCGCATAAAAATTTTGTAATTGAGTTTTCCGTGAATAACTGACCCAGAGGCTGAAACTCTACGAAAATAGTTATTGTTCTCGCTCAGCAATGTATGGAGTTCCAGCTAACTATGAGCCTAGTTCCGCTCATCACTCGTTTAAAATTTTTCAGTATCGATCCCTTCAATATTTGCTGGTACAATTTTAATAATCAAAATTAATTCTTTTTTTTTTTTTGTAAACAACAGAGTTGTCGAACACATAAATGTGCAGAAATAGATACAGTATTAGTGAATTTTAAAAAAGTAATAAATCTTTAGGAGGAAGTATGTTAGAGATCATGCGGTTCGTGCAAGATGTCCCCAGCTTATTTGCATTACTAGAAAAAGTATATTACATTTTTCGCTAGTACATGTTTTACTAAGCGTGAAACCTGGATCGAAAACGATTGATCTTGCTCATCACAACCCCGAACTCTTTGAGAATAGTTTTCATTTCTCTGAGCGCTACTAGTAGCCAAAAGATAGATTTGAATGGTATCTGACAGATTTAATACTGAATAGTTTTACTATGTCGAAGAAGAATTATTAGATTAATATTCTTAGACATGTTTTAATTTTGAACTTTCAAGTACTTGATACTTCAATATAATTTTTCTTGTTTTTATCTTTAAATTTCTGATTTACTTTTAAAGCGAGTTAGTATTTCTTGATAATTCGATTTATAATTTTTTCGCATTTGTCAAATTTATCTTTTTTATTTTCGACAAAAAAGAAAAACACAACATGAAAAAAGCCAATTATTATTAATTTTTTTTTTCTATACCATTTCTCGTTTAATCTTTCTTGTTGTTATGTTATTTCGTTTACAAAAATATGCAATGAATATAAATGGAATAAAATTTTTATTTCTTTAGGTGGTCATGGTCCTGATACATACTTATTAAAAATTCGTTCGCGTGAAAATAAAATATTCGAAGTTGAATTAGCTATTTATAGTACAGCTGATTGGCATTTATATCGTACAAAAATTTTATCAAAAATCGAAGAGGTTAATTAAATAATCGAATAAAAAACAAAAATTTCTTTTTTTTTACTAAATTATTTATTTAAGGCTCTTCGTGGTCTTCGTGTTAGTTGGACAAAAATTGATATTCGTGTTGATCATTTTGATATACAAATATGTACATCATCTCAAGCTACTTCTATAACATCATCATCATCATCATCATTAACAAATATGAATGCATCATGGTTTCTAAAAGTATTAAGTGAATCTGGACCATTAATTGTTCATATTCATGATAGACGACATCCTCAACAACGACATTTTATCAAATGTTTATGTCCACAATGTTCATCAAATGAACAAATAAATGAGTAAATTAA